ATGTGAGGCTGTGCACCCACAAACATTTTTGCATTGAGTGGGAGGTTTTGAAGTTCCCGAGTGCATTTCATTCAGCATGCTAAGAAGTCTCCACACAGTCAGGAATTCTGATAAGAAAGGCGTCTTGGTTGCAGGGAGGCTTTTAACTTAGGAACCTCTTCAGAACTTCCCAGGCAATGAAGAAAGGAGCCATCAACATGATCCTGGTCACCTTCCACAGGTTGAAAACTATTAGCACTTCAGTAGGAAACCTCAGGCCTCCTCAGGTCATACACCATACTTGATCTTGCTTCACAGTTTCAAGAATATGAATTTTTACCTTAAAATATTTAACAAGTGGCCAAGTTGTGCTTATTATTCTCTCTCTCTCTCTCTCTCTCTCTCTCTATATATATATATATATATTCAGCTTCACAATGGCCTTTCTTTCTAGTGGCTGTTTGCCGCTGCTGCCTCCTCTGCACTTGCACTGCCATGGCTGTCTCCTCCATACTCAGCCACCTCCTCAGCCAGTGCACTTGGAGGTGATGGAGGCAGGCATGTGTTGGGGGTATAGGAGGAAGCTGGGTGTGGAGGTAGCAGCTGTGGTACATGTGCCCTATGTCGCCTCATGGATGGGCCAACCCTGCATATCCTTCAAAGTATGCCAACTGTTGCTTCCTCCATGGCCTACTTTTCATGAAAAGAAAACATAAAAAGATAAGTTTTGGATGCAAACTGAAGAAGAAACTAACAGGTACTAGTTTTACCCTGAAAGTAAATTATGGCTGTCCTTCTAAAAATAGCAAAATGAACTTGACAGTGCTCAGCTCAAATCAATGCCAACACATTTTTAAAACTAGACCTTCTACCAATACTGATGAGCCTCAAAATTACTTTAAGCGATTTTGGCTTTCATGTATTTCTGCAATAGGAAATATATTACTGAATATGATGTAAACACACAGATGTTAGAGAGCTTTTTCTTATAACTGAGTGGGGGTAGTATCTTTTCTTTCCTTTTTTTGGAATATTATAAATTTACTCGCATCTACAGGAAACGGCTGCCTTTTCTTCGGGTTCCACAAAAGGTTGATTATTTTTTCCAATATATAAATTAAGTTAAATTTAATAACTAGAACAGTTAATTGGGAATTAGCTTATAAAGGCACAGTTCATTTGTTAAATGGATAATGCCCCTTCCGATCTTCAGGAGGAAGGGGGGTTGCGGGATCACGACCCCGCCCACACTTGTTCCCACGAGGCTGGCGCCAGCCTCGCGGGAGGCACAGGGATTCCCCCAATTAGCATCCCCTGTGGCACCAGCCAATCGGCTGGTGGCAGGGGCGGGCCTTAGTAAGGCCACTTAAGGTCGGGGCAGCCCTGGGCTCGCCCCTTTTCACCCTGGGAGACCTCGCGGTTTCCCACCCACCCGCCCTCTAGGTTTTGCCACGGACCCACTGACTTTGCTATGGGCTTCGGCTGGTCGCCACAAGGGGCCTGGTAGGAGTTTTTCCATTTGGCTAATTGGCTGGTTTTGTGAGCCACTTGGTTTTTTCGCCTACCTCGTAGCAAATCGTCACAACTCCCTTGGTTTTGGCGGTAGGCATTGGCCGGGGTATTGTCATGCAGATGAGGTTGGGGGGGAGGAACGCCATCACCTCCCCCAATGCTTGAAGGGTAGTTCGTTAAAGGACTCCGAGGGGCGACGCCTCGTCCGAAACCTACGGAGGCTAGGGCCTAAAGCGCGCCCCTGAGCGGTAACCCCTAGGGGAGCGCCTAGGGATACGCATCTCGGGTGGCTCCCCCTGTGGCGTTTAACCCTTCCCGGTTAGACCGGATAGTCGGTTAGGGGCCAATGCCTAAAGCCAATACCCTTTCTTTCCTGTAATCAATAAAGTTGTGGCCATTTTCGCCCATTAACCTTAAATTCCGTGTCCGTTGTCTTCATTTATTCCACCTGTGGGGGGGAGGGAATAGCCACGCAATCACCTTTTTAAATTTTACCTAAAGTATTAATAAAATTATACATTATAGATAACAAAGTGAGCATGTCTACAGTAGGGTTGTTCTGGCCATATGAATTGCATATTTTAAAGGTGTCTGCTGTTTAAAGCAACCTTTTTTCTTACATTCTGAATCTACACCTGAAGTAGTAGGACTTCACCTACCGAGTGAAGGCAGTGCCTCTGTGACATTAGCTTTTAGTCTAATCCCTACTCCCATCTCATTTGTTCCACAAGGAAAGCACAGTTTTTATGTATGGTTAGACTTTGAGAAATAACCTGCTGATGCTAAATGTATGAAGGGGGGAATCTCACCCATAGAACATAATGCATTTGCAAGGAAGTTCTTCCAGGTAAGGACCAAATTAGACATTAGCTGAGAGTTCCATGATTCATTCTTTCTTAAGAAGCAGATTTTCCCCATGAATCTCAAAAATTATCCAGTCCCAATTATCATAAAATTGCGCACACAAGTCTCTCCCCCCCCCCCCAAATAGCAGTTTGGGGAGGAACCAGAAGCAGAGCATAGACACATGGATAACGGGTTGTATCCAATCCAAATCTCCCCCTTTCTCAGCTCACTGTACCACTATAGAAAAATTTTGCAGGTAGAATCATTATATAGATAGGAAAATGGACAAAATTAGGTGTTATGTGTGAATTCACACACACACACACACACACACACACACACACTTAAAGGCAGCCAACTAACTAGTTCTGAAAATTCAGACTAGTTCAGATCTTTAAGAAAATTTCCACATTTTAAAAATTAAAGCTCAATTGCTATTTCCACTTGCCTTTTACATAGTTTATATTAGGAAGGACAGTTGCAGGATATGATACACACATCAAGTTTGAATGTAGCTGTAAAAAAATTCTTAATAGAACATAACGTAATTTCACCCCAGTAGATGTTAATAATACTAATTTTTGGAGCTTCTTTTACAGCCTTTTAGGCAAAAGACTATAGGATAATAATGATAAGAGCTCCAAACAACATATTCTCATGTTAGGTCACCTCTAAACCATATGTATAAGAACATTTAAGTTTAATTTGCTTTAATGGACATGGCATATATCGACCAATGACTACACTTTTAAATCTGCTGCAAATGTGTATGAAGCCATCCAGACTTAGAGTCACATTAGAGCCAAATAAATGGTTTTACATTACTTATAATCTTGTAATTTTTCTCTATAAAAGAAATACTTAAAAGCCAAATTCCGGTCAATGGCCAAAGCACTGCTGGCATGCTGAAAATGAAACAAAAATACAACCTTGAGCTATTAGATTTTTTATGATCCATGGAGCTTCAGGACCCACCGCAGTATATGATTTCTAAGATCACAAGGATTTGTTTTAAACCAGTCTCCCCCAATTTGGTGCCTTCCAGATGCTTTGGACTATAGCTTCCATCACTTCCGACCATTGGCCATGATGCTTAGGGCCGATGGGAGTAGGAGCTCAACAATATTTGGAAGACACCAGATTGAGGTAGGCTATTTTGAACACTTCTTCCTGACGAAGCTAGCTAAACTAAGTGGAACTATTTGAAAGGCTGACCTGTCACTACAGTCATCAAAATAACATAATGTGTTATGCAAAGTGAAAGGATGTGAGAGGGAAATGAGTTAATTTAGGGAAGCCCTGAGGTAACTTCCTGCCAGAAAAGCAAGTACAAATATGTTTTATTCTCTTCATTTCACATTATGCAAATAATGTGCAAGCCTATCCAAAGATTATAAAGTTATTATTCTATCCCAAAAGGAATATGTGAGGTAGGACTATATTGCTATGCTGTTTGTTTGATTCATTTCTTTTCTTTTATTACAGTTTTATTTTGTATTTAAAAATCCAATGAAATAAAAAGTTTAAACAATTAAAATTGGAAATAATATGCATACAAGAAGAAAAAGCTAAGCTGAAATATGACCAATTAGCAACGTAATTTCCAACAGAGCTGTCAACCAATTAAAGGCTTTTAGTTGATTAATGGCATTGTTTTTAACTGATCAATCCAAGTAACTAATTAAAATAAACATTACAGTGTGCAGTCCTTGACCATTGAAATCAATGGGAATTCTTCCATAGGCTTGAACAGAATCATAACTACAACCCTTCAGATCTCAGTGCAAGTATGTTTTCGCAAAGATAGCATGTTCCTTGAACTAATTGGCGCAACTACCAGCACTCCACATCCTTTCATACTGGGCATCTCCAATTAAAATTTCACTGTAATTAATTCAGCAATTGATCAATTAATTGGATAATCCACTTCCTTGCTCTTTTCTTCATTATCGTAATGATAACATATGCTTAAAAGTTCTGCAGGGTCTCTTAAGATGACCAGGGGCCATACTTACTGATTACTGAATATTGCCTATGAATATGTGAGGAAGTGATCATCTGTAGTCTCTGACTGAATTCAGCATCACTGCCTCCACTTTTCTACAGCTATTTCGATCTGGGGCAGCATAGGATGGTAATGCTGGGATTAATCATATGTCTGAAGGTGACAGGTGACAATTTCTGCATTACCTGAGCCAACCCATATGCACATTTCACTGCTCATATGAGGTTTACCCAATATATCCAGTAAAACATTAAGAATATGGCAGTCAGCTTTCATGAGTGCAAGTTGCTCCAAAACCAGAAGTCCCTACTCAAGGAATCTGATATATGATCTGTGGGCCACCATATAAACATTACACTATTTGTGTGAGCACTTAAATGCACATGCCACCCATCTGAGGTGACATACAAACTCACTCAAGAGAGCTTTCTGAGAAGAGTTGAACCAGAGTGTAAATAATGAGAGCAGAGAATGCATATTGTATGGAACCATTTTACAACTAGAACTTATGCTTGCACATGTCACTAGAATCCATGCAAAATGCCTCAAAGCTCTGCATGGGGATTTAGCTGCACAATGCTCATTTAAGACATCCAACTTTAAGGAGCTCAAGGAAAGCAATGCTCAGTGGCTCAATATATTTGTTACAGAAACTCACCCTCTGCATCTTCTGGCCTTGTAAGATCAATGACTCCTGGGCCTAGTTTTCCATCTTCACTGGGCTTCCCTGATAGCTGTGGGCCTAAATTCTCATAGCGTGTTCTTTCCTGCCGAAGAGAAAGGAACATTAAGATTTCCAGTCTGTTCATGTCTGAATATCTTGAGCGTACTCATTTTCTATTATACTTCCCTGCCCCTCTGGCTACCACCTGCACTTCCCCTGCCCTCCATACTAATATGTCAGTCCTTTCTTGATTTCCACTTCCACATTTTCTTGTCCATCTAACAGAGGTTGCAAGTCATATTGGTAGGTAAATCTTTGTTCCTTACATTGCCCAATCCCACAGTTGGTACCTAAGCATGAGCTAGTACTAGTAAAAGATACAGGCTATGCTTTTTTTCAGAAAGAACACAGATATTGTTTAACTGCAAGTATCAGTTTAGAATTTAGTGTCCAAAATCTAGTTTTCAAATATGCAATACCCCTCCAGTACTGATTAAATGTATGATGAATTAATATTCAAGCCAGTTCCTAAGTTATCTTAGCACCATGGTTGACTCTTCCGTGGTGCTTGCTTCCTGTGCTGCTAAATTTAAAGTAACAAGGAGCCCATGTTGAAGGTGTCTACAAGATGATTATTTCCCATAGCAGCAGGGAAAGGGTGATGCCAGTGTGGACAGTTATCCTATCCTACATTCCTCTCATATAAGGGTGAAAATATGTGGACATAGTAGCCCCACCACTTTGGTAATGTACAAACTGGCTTTTGGAAGTTAGCTTATTAACACCTTTGACTCACTAAATCTCTTAATAACAGAAAACCCACAACCACTATGTATTTTACTACACAATGAAACAAATAATTGTGTGAAAAATTAAATTGATTATTGCTAGGCAATAGCTTTAAACAACCCATTACAGTTCAGGTAAGTATAAAGTAGGGCAGGTAGCATTACTGTGGTGTAGAAATGAGGGATTGCGGCAGAAGCTCTAGAAATTACTAAGAACACAAGAAGGAGATCCTGCTGGACGAGGTCAATGGTCCATCTAGTCCACCATCCTGTTCCCACAGTGGGCAATACCCAATAACAATGCACAGTCCTATATTTCTTAAATGACCTTGGGAGAAAGATATTGGCATTTGGAAAAAAATGCTAAAATTCAAAACTTAAAAAGCACTTTCTACTAAAACTCGCTAATTTAATGGAAAAATCACCACCAGCACAACCACCACTCCTCTCATCGAGATATGCGTTTGCATTGGAACCCTTGAGAAAACACAAGTCTGAATTTTATGCAAGAGGCTTTCAAAGACAAGTATTTCAAAGAAGGAATACTAGATGACAGAAATAGTACTATTATTTTGTCTAGAAATTTGAACTGAAACTCAATGGGAATTTTAAAAGAGAGAGCAAGAAAAAGAAAGGGCTGTGTTTGTTCCCAGAATAAACAACATTTTTGTGTGCTGTAAACTTCTGCTGTAAAACTAGATCAAGAGACAACTTATGTCCTCAAAATATGAGAGGACAAGAGCCTTGAAACAATATGGCAGCACATATCTTCTGACAGTGGTAGCCTCAGTGGTACTCTGACTGCAGCAACGTGCTAAATAGTTATCATTAATGTATTGTTCTCGTGGAAAAAAACCAATGTGTTCTCTCTCTTGTCTTGTTGATACTTCTTAAGACTGAACTTGGCATTGTGTTGAGAATGAACAAAACACTGTTGTTCATTACTATGAAACTATTAAATGTCATGTCATCTTGAATTTACAGACATGAAATGCCAGCTTTCAGTTTTGTGAACAGTTTTCTGTACGTTATACTTGATGCATTATGCAGCAGAAGATTGCTGATTGCTGTTCACTCTATTGTTCAATGACCTAGTTCTGTACTGAGCATATTACACATTAGAAGGAAAACAGTACCAAGTTTATTCCCTGAAGAATTGCTAAGGAACCTGGTATTGGCCTTAACAAGCAAAGTGGCTCTGACTCGTTTGCTCAAATCTCTCTGCGTTGGTTAGAATAATAGAACTGTAGCACTGAAATGGGACTTGGGGGTCATCTAGTCTAACCCCCTGCAACCCCCTCTTTTTGCCTAGTGTGAGGCTTAAACCCACTACCCTGAGATTAAGAGTCTCATGCTCTACCGACTGAGCTATCCCAGGAGGCATTTGCTGTTCTAGTCAGATCATTTTCAGAAAACAATTGCTTACTAATTAGTTCTCTGTAACCAAGTTTGCAAGAAGATGTTTAGATTCTTAAAATATTGTTTAGCTAATATTTGGAGTATTAAGGGAAGATGCCAGGCACTGTGTAAAAATCCAGACTAAGCTTCTTTTCGAGGACAGTTCATGTGGGGGGAAGTTGTTAAGGAGTACAAAGGTGCTGATATCTAGTTATCAACACATCAAAGCAAGGTTTTTGAGTCTGGGCAAACGGAGGTTGCCAGGGTGGCAGTGGGCAATGATGTTAATAGAAGGGGGCGGTATTTGGCAAGGAGTTTATGGGAAGAAGAAGCAGGAAGTGGGGAGAATGCCATACGGGGCTGAAGAAGAAGACATTGCCACAGGAAGAGACAGCATGGCTGATTCATCTAGTAGATTTGAGCTGGCTGCTTAGGAGGGCAACAAAGGACTCTCTTGTGATGCTAGTGTTGGGAACTCTATCTAGATGCAGGTTGTGAATATGTATAAATAAACCATATTTCCTAAGACACTACAGCCTCTTCTGTGCCTTAAATTTCCAACGGAAACACAAACCCCGGTTTACTAAGACCCCTGAAATCTTGCACCACTGGGCAGACATTGGGGCGACTTGCAGCAATATTAAAATGTTTAAATAATAACAGGGGGGCAGGGGGTGGGAACCAACATTACACTAAATTGAAGTACAGGTGTTTACTGCATCACTCTGCTTGCATAACCTTAACATTCAACCATTTTCAATGTTTCTTGAAGTCTCCCATTTGCTGAAAAACTATATTGTCATTATTAATTTCCCACTATAACATGTATTGAGATAATGCTGTTGTGATATGCAAAAATACTGAAACAAAGAGCACTGAGAAGAAACATAACTATTGGTTACAGGCAGGCAGGCACAACATTCAGCTGAAGAATGCTATAAGGTCCAACAGTAATACCTCACTATCAGAACGGAGCTTGCTTTGCTGGTGCAAAGGAATGATTCTACCCCCTGTCCCCCGGGGACACACATTTAAAATAGAAGAGTTGCATTAGACCTTTCTTTAAGTTCCTGCAGTTGGGAGGTAATTGGCATTTTGTACACTGTGTTTCTTTTCTTTCTTTTTTCTAATATTTGCATTTAAAATATTTCTATAAGGAGTGTTAATGTGGCACCTGCAATTTTCAGTGTGTGCTTTGGGGGGGGGAGGGAAAATAGCACTCCACTTAAAAAAAAAATCAACAGAACCTTCTATGTATCAATATGCACATTTGAAGTATCCTTCTAGTCATTCATTCCCTTTGATTTTCTCCAGAAAATATTCTGTGTTAAAAAAGAAAGTTTCTGAAAGAATATCAATATTTTGACACTGAAAGAGAAAAGGGAAAATTACATGATAAGGCTCAGGAACTGGGAGGAAGAGAAGCGTACATGGTAATAATACCTAAAAGAATTGAGGTGAATCTATGATTCTGTAATAACCTTCAATGTCTCATTCTTTTGAAATATATTGACTGCTACAATTCTGTATGTATGGTTTCATTTTTCCACTTAAAGTATACCTCATAGCAATACTAACTAATTTTCAGGAAAGCTGTAAATAAAAAAAAATCTATTACAACATAATTGGTAAATGCAAACCTAAGTGTATTTCTGAAGGCAAGAAGAATTTAGACTGGACTCCTATGTATATTTACCTGACAGAAAGCCCAGTTGAACGTAGGGAATTATTTCCAAGTAAACATACATAGGGATCACAGTCAGGTAAATAAATACATCTGTAATTGAACTAAACTAAGCAGATTATAAAGGAGTACAAATTGCAAATTCATTAATAGGAAATGGTCTGTATATTTAAAATACGTTCAGTTGTGTACGCTGTTCTCATGCACCTACCCAAATTCTATTTAAATTCCTATTTACAAGCATGCATGTCCATATGAATACATATTCATGTCTGAAAATAGCATATACTTGTGAAAATTTACACACACACTAAAAAATTACTTACTTAAAAAACCACACACCTGTCTTACACATCATAGAGATAGCTTATTTATCCTCAGGAAACCCTGAGCTCATTTTTTGTTTATTTCAAACTAAACTGCTTCCTGTAGGCATAAGGCCCTGAGCATATATCCTGAGTAAAGTAAGTGCATTACGCCATGGGGCATAATGAACACAGAACAGAATTCTAACTCAGATCATGATTACTGGAAAACCAAGAGGGCTAATGCTTTTAAAGAACACAGTCTATGTCTAAGTACAAAATGGACTCTTGGCTACTTGGAGATATAGAAAAACCTACTCATTGCTACTTTCGTGGTTTTGGGATGACAACACACTGGGGCGGGATTCGTTTTACTAACAACCGAACCTTCATTTTCCATTCAGTGACACGATTAGGCACTTATTTATGCATTGTCAGGCACAAACATGCAGGCAGCATAAAAGTTATTGAAAAAAAATTAAAGCCTGCTTCGCTGTGTCGCAGGACCGTTGGTTAAGTGCTTTGAAATGATGATCTATGAGGTAGATGTTGCATATTAAATAAAGATATTTAAATGATAAAGCCCCCTTTAGTGAGCACTGATGAATGTTAAATGTTCCAAGCCACAAAGCTGAGCCATCCGTCATATTCACATGTTATCATAGTCAATGATGGAGCAACCCCAGTGATGACAGATGGACTGTGAGATTATTATCCCCTTATTTCCAGAGTCACCAAACCAGTCTCCTACTCAAGCATTATTTTTAACTTTACATTAAATTAATAACTTCCTCCACACTTCTGTGGTGGGAATGATCAATGCTTTCCTCCTGGGTGTAAAAGGGAAATGGACTAGTGTAGTCAACTGAAGGAAGTAGGGGAAGAAGCCTGCTCATCCACTGGAAAAATCGGAGTGGGTGGCTGGGGG